TATGAGTTCAAGGCCAGCCTGGGCTACCAAGTGAGCTCCAGGAAAGGCGCAAAGCTACACAGAGAAACCCTGTCTCGAAAAACAAAAAAACAAAAAAAAAAACTTTGAAAAGTTTTAAATTTTCATTTTCCAGAAGATATAGGTAATCTCTCAGAATTCAAAGCTCATGAGGTTTGAAGGAAATGTAATAAAATGTATTTCTGTTCCCTGCTGTTACGCTTCTTATTAATGTGTTTTAAACTTTCTTTGCAAATAATTTCTTTGATGAGAAATTGTCATTTTTCCATAATGCTAACAAAGTGACACACTCTTAGAACTTTTGTTTATTAATTGACTATAGATAAAGAATTTAAGTAGAAATGATTAGGTCTTCATTAAGACATTGTAATGCTGAGTCACTAACCTAAACCATTTTCAAGTCCATGAATTTTTTAGTATTGGAAAGTTATGTAATTTTCCAGTGAGTTTACTTAAACCATTGGTAAATACTCGTTTTCTAATTAATGACTGTACACTGTGGTCAGGTGACTAAGAATAAGCTACAGGGAAATACTTGTTACTGCTATGGAAACAAACAGATCGATCTTGCTAGCTCTTGCCTCTTTGTAGCATCAAGAATACTTAAGAACTGGTGTGTAGTCACCTTGTTTTTTCCCTGCTTTCTGTTTCAGGTTTAGGAATGCGATGCTAAAGAGCATCTGTGAGGTTCTCGATTTAGAGAGATCAGGCGTGAACAGCAAACTAGTGAAGAGGATCTTGAATTTCTTGATGCATCCAAAGCCTTCCGGCAAAGTAAGGATTCGTTATTTACCATTTCAGTAAAATGGTTATTAACAGCCTTTTCTTTCTCTTACTGAAACAGTAATTTAACAACAGAATTGTGTTGATAGCCAGTGATGTCATTAGCATTTCAAATATATGCCTTTCATTGACAGAACTGCAATGTTTTCATAATATAAATCAAATAACATATTGTCCTTCTAATCAAATATGACTAGTACAAGATTAAGAAAAGTAGTCTGGTGGTTGTAGTGGCAGTGCATGCCTTTAATCCCAGCATTTAAGAGACAGAGGCAGGTGGATCTCCTGAGTTCCAGGATAGCTGGTGCTGTTACAGAGAACTCCTGTCTCAAAAAAGGGGGAGGGGGGGACAAAAGAAAAGTAGCTGGTGGTGATGCACATCTTTGATCCCACTTTAATCCTAGCACTGGGAAGGCAGAGGCAGGTGGGTCTCTGAGTTCAAGGCCAGCCTGGTCTACAGAAGGAGTTCCAGGACAGCCAAGGCTACCCAGAGAAACTCTG